TTTTTTTTTTAAATTTTTTTTTTTTGGTAATACTTTTTCTTTATTTACACCTGGTGGTCCTGCCAGTCACTCTAGGGTGACAACGCTCACTGTACTGTACTGTTTCTATGCAGAGCCATGGTTGTGTATTCTAACGACCGAAAACTTCTCTCTCCCCTCTTCATTACAATGGGGGGGCGGGGGGCGTCTGTACTCCAAAGAGAGAATTGGGCAGGGCTGGTAGGGACAGAGAGTACAGGAAGTTATCAACTCAAGATTTCTGGTGGGATCAACAGGTTTTCCTTTTTTTGCCAACTGGCGGGTAGGTGGACGTTTACTTCTGATGCGCCGTTTAAAATCAGTGCTTGCAAGGCTGTGCCTGACCAATCAGCATGAAGCCAGCCGACCAGCCGGCTTAGTTGCTGATTGGCCGTGAAGCCAGCTTTTCAGCCAATCAGGAAGCCGGGAGGCGGGTTATTATTCGCTGCCCGGCTTCCTGATTGGTCGGGAAGACGGCTTGATGCTGGTTGGCTGGTAAGCCGGCTTCCCAGCCAATTACAATCGAGTCGGCCAAACAACATGGAGTCGGCTTTCCAGGCAATTGGGAAGCCGGGCGGTATGTCATTACTCACCGCCCTGCTTCCTGATTGCCTGGAAAGTCGGCTCCATGCCAGCGGAAGCATTGGTACTCGGTATCAGTGACTACCAAAAGCAATACCAAAAAACGGTAGCTAGTGACAGTGTTTCATGACAGAGAATTTATCAGACTATCACAGCAATGAGCAATGTCCTGGTGATGAAGGGGTTTGCACAGGCCGGTATGCGAATGGTTAAAGCAGTTTTTACATATTCCAAATGTGTTTGACAAATAATTGAGGATTAATCAGAAAAGTGAACCCTTTCCTTCCTGCACCGTTCTATGATGTATTGTTCCTTTTTCCACTGCTCCGCCTGGCTGTATGCTATTGTCTGAGCTCGCCTGCAATACATGTTTGTCTTTTAAACAGGTACTTCAACTCAACCGGCAATGACCTGTTATACTGGGGTCTGGATTACCCCCCTCTGACGGCCTATCACAGCCTCCTCTGCGGGTACATGTAAGTGTTTGAATGCTGGACGTATATTGGACGTGATGACTCGCTGGACCTTAGAACGCAGGAGGGGAGGAAGAGACAGGCTGAAGCTCCCTAGACAAAAGGAGCACTTAACACTTGCAGTGCATGGGTAGACCCACTGTGAGGCTTAAGATTTGATTTGCCTGGAGTTCTGCTTTAATACAAGAGACAGCCATAGACTGGACACACGTTACACGAGACGGCTAGAGATCCCAATTACAACCCCTGTACACATCAAGGTTTTACATTTGTAATCCCTACAGCCCCTTTTAAATTACCCGTGTTGCATTTGATATTTCTCTCCAAGTTTAATGGAAGGATAAAAGATGAGCTGAATGGAGGGCACAGAAAAGTAAGATATTGTAGCAGCCATTTAACTACTAGAACACACGCCAAATAATATTTTATGTCACTGGCTTGAGTAATTAACAAAGCACGGTCTGCTATCTGCAGGGACCCTAACTTTAAGTCCCAAACGGCCACATACAGCACCCGGGCCACAAGTTAGGCACCAGGAGTCTATGTGAATATCTGTAATAAACCCGTTTTAGCTGCGTGTCCAGCTTTTTGTTGTGTCTTGGCCCTTTTGCTCTGTTGCGACTCATTATTTAGCAAAGCCCACCTTGAATACTAGGGATGCACCGATACCAGTTCAGATACTTGGCATTTTTATGAGAACTACCAGGGTTGCAGCAGGGACCTGGCTCTGGCGTTGCACCACTGTCCTGAAATCATTAGTCTGTACAGACATTCCTAGGTTACCAACTTACCTGCTTTGCGACCACTCGCACTTACGACGGACCGCCGATCGACCTCCGACCTTGCGCGTCAGTGCGACGTGTCGCCAGCGGAAGTGATGTCCTCCGATCGTCACTGCGGGTCCCGGTAAGTGTTTTCATTGCCCGATGTGCAGTACACTGTTCGGTACCGTACATCTGCAACGCTATACAGTACTGTACTAATGCAGTACAGTACTGTATAGAGTTCCTCACTTAACGACCAATTCGTTTAACGACATGGTCGTAGGAACGGAACTCGGTTGTTAAGTGCGGAATACCTGTATTGTTTTAGAAAAACTGTCACAGGACAATAAACAACAATGTATCTGTGAAGTCTTGGAGAAGTATCAGTACTTGGAAAAATTTTATCGGTGCATCACTTATATATATTTTAAAAAAATATTAAAACGGAGATGTACAAATCCCGGGAGCTCCGTGTGCTCCTTACAAATGACAGCTGACTCCTAACTTTTTAGTTTTTCTCTAGTCTAGTCTTGGAGCTGGAAAAGTATCTGCACTTGTACTGAATACGGTACTTGGTATCTGAACATCCCTATTGAATAGACAATGCAAGGGACAAGGCCGCTCTCCTGGTGATCAGCGCTCATTAGTATTTCTGTGACATTTACTGTTGTAGAGCCCGTGCCATCAATCCAGACTGGGTGACCTTAACTTCGTCCAGAGGGTACGAGAGCCCCCAGCACAAGCTGTTCATGCGGGCGACCGGTACGTATCATTGTAGCTGATTCCTGCAGCTTTATATATTTACAACATGTTTTGCTGGTACCTGCCGTGCTATATAAGGGCCAGCTTACCCATTGCAGATGCATACTTGCAGCGTCATAGACGTTTATACTCGTGCACATGCATTCAGGTGCCACTAAACCCCCAAAAATATACGATATTCCATACCTTCATATGTGGTCATCTGGATACCTTGAAATAGCAATGTTGGAAAGTAAAAGGAGAAATTTGAATGGTAAAACATTTCTGATCGCACTTCTTTTCTGGGGATGACTTCGCTGGCTCTACGTGGTGCCATTGTATGTGGTATGTAGCCACCCACCACCCCCAGCATGTTCCCACTGTCAACTACATTCCTACGTGTCGACACATCCAGCACTGCCATGTAAAAGCTCTTTTTTCATGTAAACTCGTGGAGTGGGGTGGGAGAGACGCCTTGATTTGTAAGATGAAATATCTGGTTAGTCGTACATGTTTGATGGGAAATCTCTCTAGTTTTGCTTAGTACATACTGCAAGGTGCCGGGTGCTTATGTCATATTCTGTCTCTGTCTTGCAGTTCTGGTTGCCGATTTGATCATTTACATCCCTGCGGTTATCCTGTATTGTTCCTACCTGAAAGAAACTACCAAAAGAAAAGTAAGTGTTGAGTGAACTTTCCGTATCCCTCATCTGGGGGCTGCTGTGTAATCGGAATGCCTTATTGGTTAGCACCGTAGCCTGGCAGCATCAGGGCTCTGCATATAGTTTATATGGTTACCCTGTTTATGTGAGTTTCCCCTAACAATACTAAAACATGGTACTAAGTTTATTAGCTCTCACCCCACCATTCCAAGCAAACGTCAGCCTTATAGAAAACCTGTACTCCATAAACAGGCAGCCTGCTAATAATGCTATTTGACTGGCGGTTATTCTACTTCACCTTATTCGCCTTCAATGATTTCCAAAATCCTGACCTGAAACAAGTATAGTGATCAGGAGGTTTGGCTTTCTGATTGTCCAGGTCAGGGACTAGGCCACGCTTCCAATTCCACAATAGAATGTAGAGCAAAACAATGTCAATAAAATTAATCTGATCTTGTGGAAAGAAGATTGTTAATCCCGACCTTTCTCCTCTGCCCATGACACTGTAATGAAGAAACCACAAACCAATGGCTCTTCAGAATCCAACATTTCTGAGAACATCAAATTCCTGGTCCCCCACTGTGTTCTACATTCATACACTACAGTAGCGATGTAGAGGGGTCAGCAAGAGGAATCGTGGAGTACAGTGGGTAAAGGGAGGCTGACACTCCCGAAAGTGTTGGATTCAGAAGAGTCTTCAGTTGGTGGTTTCTCTTCATTATAGTGGGGTTCAGGGGTGTTGTCAGCGGGAAAGGTCAGTGTTTACATTCCTATTTTTTTGGGAGTCTTAAAGGAGAACTATGGGTTTAAGGCTTTTCCCCATAGTTCTCCTTAGGGTAACGGGAGGACACAAACTAGCATCCTCCCATCACCCTAGGCTCCGTATACCACGAGCTGTAGCTCCGGGATCCGCCCAGCTGCGTGACTGACAGCTGGCTCTGCCTATCTAAAGGCAGAGCCAGCTGTACCCGCCCCCTCCCCCGTCCGTTCCGCCAGTCAGCGCTGGTGGATCGGCGCGGGGAATCCTGCCCCTCCCCTGTCACGGGATCGAGAGGTGAGCGAACGCCGGTATGTGTTCGCTCACCTCCCGATCTACTGAGCCGACCTGTGACAGTCTCATTGTCACAGGTCGGCTAGAACTATGAGGTGAGTGAAAAGCACTCCTCATAGTTCTCCTTTTAACATAAGTGGCAAAGTCAAATTAGTTTATGTTCTAGAGAGCTGACAGTCTTCTTTACAGAGGATCCTTGTGTTGTATTTTATAGACAACCATTTAATGATCTGGACGATCTACCATGATTAGAATTTTTCAGCCACAGGAAGGGGATAAACCATTTATTAAGCCTTCTCTACAGCATTGCTGCACTTTCTTTCTTTGATGGTGTTAGTAGTGAGGCCGTTCAGGAGCATCTTAGAGGTCCCATAAGAGGCAGTGTTGGCTTCTCAGAAGTTCTCCCAGGATTCATGTCAGGGGATCAAACTAGAAGGAAGTTCCTGACCAAACCCAGAACATTCTGGTGGGAATATATTTTCCAACTTGCTGGAGAACACTTTGGGACAAAAAGGCAAATACATGTCCAGGTTAGCGTGCACAGCTGCCTTCTAACTTGAGTAGAGCTAGTTAGGGTGAGCTAATATACAATAAATGACCTATATATAAAATGTAGTAGGATTCACATTGATATCACTACAAAATACAGGAGGGAGTGTCCTTCATTTGGAAGAAAATAGATGTAATTTTAAGGTTGGGTAAGAGGTTCTCGACCCCTTGAAGTCTGTCTTCTGTGTTCTACAGGAGCTGGTTTTAGCAGATATGGCATTGTCTCTGCAGCATTTATTCAGTTGTCATTAGGCATCAGGAAAGAATTTCTCCCTTGTTTAAGTAGAGCACACATTCTAAGGCCTTGTAAAGAAGTGTGTTTTAGAGCAATGTGTACAGCATCTTTTACAAAGCATTACCAGTGATTTTTTAGCCAGCTTCAAGCAGCTTTTCCAGAGTCCTGAAAGCAAACTTAATGGGCGTGCCAACTGTCAATTTAAAGCTGAAGTGTAATGTACGCATATAATTAGGGATGCACTGATACCGATACTCGTACTCGCCCAAATGCTCCCATACCTTCCCCCGATACTGGAACTTCTGGTCAGAGGAAGATTTCTTCTGATGGGCAGTGCCGTAGGGGGAATATGGAGCCAACGTATTGTACGATCAGGAAGCTGGGTGACTAGTAATGACGCGCCTCCCCAACTTTTTGATTGGCTGGGGAGCCAGTTTCCTGGCCAATCACACTCAAGCCAGCCAGACAACATGGAGCTGACTTGGGCAACCAGGAAGCCAGGCAGTGTGTCATTACCCACCGCCCGGCTGCCTGATTGCCCGGGCAGCCTGCTCAATGCCAGCGAGAAGCACTGGTATCAGTGCTCAGTATCGAAAGCAAAGCATCGGTACGCGATACCAAAAAAAAATAAAAAATATATATATATATATATACACCGATACTAGTAT